CATATTCAGGGATGAGGGAGAGGGGAGGCGAGACGCTCATGAATGAGGGGAGAACAAACAAAAATCACTCCCACGAGTGACCAACGATTACATACATTGAAAAATGTCCACGCCAAACCCTATTTGCAAAGTGGAAAAAAAAAACTATTGCTGCTGCGCCCGACATGCGGCCGACCTGAAAGACCAGCACCGCAGTGCAAATCTAGGGGTATATATACACTGTTAAATTCTCGCTACGAATTTGCTTTGCAATTTGGGAAGTGTACGCCTTGTAGTCTACAAAGCATGGTGGGGAATTAACAGAGTAAGCGGCTTGGGCGATATATACCGCAGGGCGGGCCCCCAGGAGAGGAAAAGGGGGGGGGGGGGCAGCCGCGCCAGTCCGGGAAAGTACTTTGACCGGTTCACTTGTTCTTGCCGCAGCCAAGGGCCCCCACGGTCTCACGACGGATTTTCGAGGGGGGGGGCAGGCGTTTAAGCGCTGGAGTCTGAAGTTTAAGGCGTGGGTGCGCCCGAGCCGCGCGAGAGCGTGCGCGAAAGGTCGGCCAGTGCCACAAGAACGCCAGAGGAGGGCCAATAAGAGGAAGTCGATAGAACTGTCCGATTGGGCCGAGGAACGTTTCTCTCCCTCCCTGCCATGCCAATAATTTCGAGCGCCCCCGCAAACTGACCTGACGGGTGTACACATTTAGGGCTCGGTCGACCGCTGGGCAGAAGCAAAGCAGCACTTACCTGAAAAGAATAAAAAATAAAATTAAGAATAACATTACAAACAGAAGTAGTTATAATTATGTTTTCAACGAGAAGATTATTGAATCATCTGATTAAATTGGAAAAGTTTGTGTGCTTCCAACGCCCCCTCTCCCACTCCGTCGTTCGCAAAAAAATGTGTATTATCCTCTCTTGCTTAACTTAATCAAATCAGAGGAAGATTGCCATGCGGAAACCTACAATGGATGCAAGTAAACGGATCCTGCTCAAAACGCCAACAAGAAGAGCTCCACCACCACTGCTCCTCGGCAGTGTCCTACACAGACCGGAGAACAACTGCTCAAGGACACGTCCATGACCACCTCTGGCCAAACTCCTACCCACTCCCCCCGCCCTCCTCCTCTTCTCCGCGACCCAGACCCAGAGGTCCTTTCCCTTGAAGAATAGGAGTGAGAGGGGCCTTTTGTGAGGCTAGGCGCGTCGAGACATTCCACACCGCGCTCTCAATAACGGACTGGGGGCCGAAATAAGACGACGGAAAGTGGCCTTCACAAGTGCGACGAGAAGGGTACTACATAACAAACCTACGACCTAAAAATCGAGACTTCAAACGTATTTTGATGAATAATGACAAGATTTGGGGCGCTATTTCAGTTGTTGCGGAACTTCTGTTGTTTTACTGTTTGCGCGAGGAAATCTTCAGTCTGATCTGACGAGCAAACACGAAAAATATGATCCCTTAAGTCAGCATGTTCGCGCCATGTAGGTGGGTCGCCCCCTCTGAGGTCAGCGCTATCCATAGATGCTGAGGTGACGGTGACGGCCCGCCGGCCCCGCGCACGACGACCGCCCGAACAACACTCACAAAAACCAGCAGCGAGAGTTGAGGGTAAGAAGCTTACACCGCCGCACTGCCTTAAAATTGGCGTTGGGAAACGCATGCATCCGTAAAGAGACTCGTCACTATGGCAACCTCTACCTACAAGGACCAAGGAATACGGTAGTTTTAAAATAATACAATAATTAAAAACTCCGCGAGCAAACCATAAGTAATAATACTTTGCAGGGTAGGCGGCTGCGGCGAGCCCCCGCCTGGTAGCACCTGACGGCACTGCGACGGGCCCGACCGCAGAGGTGGCTCACCGTTATGCTAATTATCTGACACCTCATCGCGCGAAAAAGAAAAAGGAAAATAAAAACGCAGCGGATATTGGGCCAGGCACGTGCCCATCGCGGATAGGCAACACAGGAGGGGCACATGGTTGAAAATTTTTGCAAGTTGCTTCAAATAAACATAATTATATCACAATAAGGTAGCTATCGTAAAAATCCGGTTCGTATTGAGTTTACTTGTTTTGTTATTTAAAAATAAAACACTGGAGTTTAAATATACTAGTGGTGCATGGAGATGGAGCGAGCGAACGACAGGGCAAGAGGTGCGCGAGCCCGCGGGGATGTTGCGGCTGAGGGCGGGGCGGAGCGGGGCCGACAGAGCAGGACATGGCGAGCCTCAAGTCTAAATTTGGTGAGAGCTGGCTACATCCAATCGATCCACGCCGCTCCGACGTGCTCCGGGGACGCTGCTCGGCCATCAGTGTAAATATTAATGTAGAACTAGACGGCAGAGTTAACAAACCGCCGGTGTGTGCGACGACCAAGGAAACGTGATGGAGAATACACTTGTTGTCACGTACACCAAGTTGGTCAGAGTGACATTAAAAGCAGGATTAGTATGTTTCTGATACAGAAGTTTGTTCTTTCTTAGATGAAAAATTTGTGTTCATTATTAAATAACGAGTATAGGAGCAATTCTGCCCCCCCCCCCC